AGGAAATTCCGAGGTTGCGTTTTTTTTTATACAGTACACCCTGTATGTTATATAATACCTTATTGAATTCTGATCGTCTAATGGACCTTTCACCTTTTGACTAAAATTTCGATCTCAACAAGTCTAGACAAAAATTTTATCACAGCTTGAAAGAGCATCACAAAATTAGTAATATTCCAAAGTTTCGTTGCGAAATGTTGTAAAATGCGGATAATATAGCCTTGCGAAGTTTGCAATTTTCAGTCATCGGGAAATACATACTCTTTTTCCGAAGGAGATATGCATTTCCCGTTTGTAATCTAAAACGACTGAAAATTGCAAACTTCGCAAGGCTATATTATCCGCATTTCACAACATTTCGCAACGAAACTTTGGAATATTACTTTTTATGGTCACGTGATATTGAATAGAGAACCATTTCCCAAGAGTGCAATGGAATTTATACGTTCCATTGCACTCTTTGCGAGTGCAATCAGTTGTGCCATATACGTTTTATTCCATTGCACTCTTGTGTTTTCGATGAATCGCATCCGTCAAAATGCTTCTCATACGAATCTATTAGTCTATTTTGGTATTATATAAAACAAACAATGAATGTTTATTCGTGCAATGATAAGAATATTTTCATTAATAATAATAATAATAATAATAAACTTTATTTAAAGAAGGTGCAATTATACAAAAACCAGTTTAGCAACGCTAATCTTACACTGGGCCTTCTGTTCAACTGTTATCGTCTACTTATTACAAATTTACTATTAAAACTACACATTAAATTGGACATCAGTACAACAAAAACATATAAAAGTCGTACAAACAAATAACTTATATATAAGTATCTAAAAAGTATTTATAGGCTCTTATTTTAAAGGAGCTTAATGACGTTGATTGTCTGGTCGCACGTGGTAAACTGTTATATAATGTTGCACCACTGAATTTCAACGTTTTCTGCCTAATTGTTAGTTTCGTTCGCGGTATCCACAGTTCGTTGTTCTCTGAGCTTCTTGTAATTCGTTTTGTCACTGATGACTTTAAGACAAATAAGTCACTTATGTACTTGGGTACCCAGTTGTTTAATGATTTATATAGGCTACCATTATTGCTGTTCGTAGCATTACTCTTTGCTGTATAGGCAGGACTCCAGCAGCTTTAAATAGTGGCCCAGAAGAGGTTAGCTTCGGTTTGTCGTAAATAATTCTCAGAGCTAACTTTTGGAGTTTATGTATGCGAATAATATGACATGATTGTCCCCAAACTGTACAGCAATA